AAACACTATGTGTCTTTCTAATTTTCTATCTTTTTTATATTATGTTATGAATGTTTGGAATCTCGATCAACCTTATGTACGGTTTAAAACTTAATACAAGTATAATTTTGTTGAATAAGATATATGTCTTTGAATAAAAGAATTATACGATCAACTTTTATTTATATAAATAAAACAAAAAAACTAAGTCATATGAAAGGATACATACATATAATAAATCTAAAATAATTAGTGTCATTACAAACAAAATTAATTTCATAATTTTAAGGTACACATCTGAAATTCAAGTGTATGTTCAAATAGAATAACTTAAATAAAATATATAATACAAAATTTAAATCATCAAAAACATTGTTTAGATAATGAAAATTAAATATTAAAGAAAAAAATTTAAGAAGTTTCCTTCTATGCCTCGTTGAAAAATCAAAATATTTCAAAAATCACTTTTTTTTTTTTCAAAAAATCAAATTATTTCTGGTTTGGCCAACTTGAGAAGGTTTTTTTTACTCAGTTACATATGCTTCTTGAGGCAGGATGGGGTTAGGGAAGTCTTTCCATCCCCGCCTCCTATTTTAATTTCCATCATCGTTAAATTTTCTATTTATTTTTTCGAGGATTCCCGCAAAATATTAACGAATATTAGATTGTTTGTAGGAAAAATTTCTCTGAATTATTTATTTATTTGTATATATATATATATATATCTTCATTTTAAAGACTTTTTAATAGATAAGTGTCTGCTGTTGTTGAGTGGCAGTAAATGAGAAAGAGAGTTTGATTTGATTCAAAAAACGATATTTATATTGATAGAAATATCTAAAGTGTTTCAAATATGAGAATAGAAAACTCATTTTCGAGTATAATTTCTAATAAAAATGGTAAAATATTCTAATAAAATCCAATAATATTTCATAAGCAAACATGTAATATAATGTTACAACCAATCGAAAAAAGATCGCCACTACACGCATGTCTTGACTACTAAGTACATAAATTATTTACAAAACATTGACATATATTTTAATGTTCATAACAATTCATTTAAAACAATGATGTTAATAAACAGTGAAATTGAAATAACAAAAATTTAAAAGTAATTTTAACACCCTTATCTAACCTAAGAGCTAGAACAGTAAATCTACTACCCTGACTTCGTATCCATTGCCTCCACAACGACACAATCATTTGTACATGGTGTCTTATCTTTACCTGAAGAAAAAAAGTACACTTGAGTATTTAAAAATACTCGGTAAGTATCTGCAATGTTGGAATCGAGAAATTCAATCTTGGTAAAACACATCTTTTCATAAAAATTTTCCTTAGTCTAAACTTTCTAGTCAAGACACGGTTAAACGTGTAGTAATTCTTTACACATGGGCTACATACGTAAACATGGACCCACCAACAGGCTCATATATGTACCTCTGAGCCTAACTACGGGCTAGCGCACCTTCACGTTATCGGGAGCCACAGAGGAAAAGGAACGTGTATAATATCATGGTGTATGCATTTGTACTGAAGGAAGTATCCCAATGCACGTGACATAAAAAATGCATGAAGTCTCATAATTTCAAATCATGGTACATACTTAAAATTCAAATCATACCTCCATTTTTTTCGTGACATGACATCCCTATGAGATATTCATACGTATACTAAACATATCTTTAATGATTAACATACATGGTTTATCAATGTCTCATAGGCATGATGTGAACATGCTAACATACACACATGGTGTAACATATGGAAGTACATACATCCTATAACATTCATATCATAACATAAAATAATCAAACATAATATAACATCATAAAAATATGGCATGCATAAGGGCTACAAATGTACATGTCATTCATACGACATACAAGTCATCCAACCAGGCCCGTGGGCGTCCAACAGTAAAACCACTTGCTTAGTTGGTTTAAGTCGAGGTCACTAATTATTCTTGGCACAGCCTAAGTCGAGGTCGCTAATTATTCTTGGCACAGCCTAAGTCAAAGTCGTTAATTATTCTTGGCACATGTCTTACTCTGCTCATTGAAGTTCAACTCAACCTATGTTTGGCCCACATCAACGGTTTATGAGTCAAATCGATTTGGGTTACTAGTGTAGCTTTGAACCTGAGCTTTGTTTATTTTTTTTTTTTTATCTTCTTAGTCTCCAAGTTGGTGAAGGATGATAGGAAAAAAGAGATGGAGAAGTAGAGAGAGGAATGAGTTGTGTCCAAGAAAATGGAAGGTTTGGGAGATTATTTATAAGGGAAGGAGAAGAGAAAGTTGAGGGAATGTAGGAAATGGTTGAGGGATGAGGACAAGGGTTTCTAATCTATAATGTGTGTCAAGTCGATCAAGTACTTGCGAAGCACCGACACGTAGAATACGTTATGCATCGTGAAGGGGGAATGTAATAAGTGGATGAGTTATGATACCCATCAACCTTCTCCTTCAACAAACCATCAAATACTCTTCATCATCTTCAAACTTTATCACCATGGCTAAGCCTCTTTTCTTCATGGCTTCTCTTCTCTGCTTCGTCGTAACGCATTCGTCGCTCGAAGCGGCAACCCAACGTTTAGGTTTGGCTGGCAGCTAATAACCAATAAAAAACATAAATGAGCCACAGATTCAAAACTTAGGTGAGTTCGAATTGAATGAACACAATAAATACGCAAAAACTCAACTCCACTTCCAAAAAGTGATTAGTAGAGAAATGCAAATTGTGGTCGGTCCCAACTATAACTTTCGATTGACAGCTCTTGAGGGGACTAGTAGCCGAACCTATGGCACCCTTGTGTTTACCGATCTCAACAACAAGAACAACCTTATCAACTTCTTTGGTGTCTCCAACTAGACTTCTTGCTTCTTATCAATAACTATATGTGTTTCTAATTCTCTATCTTTTTCATATTTTGTTAGGAATGTTTGGAATCTCGATCAAATTTGTTTACGAATGGTTTAAAACCTAATACAAGTATAATTTAGTTAAATAAGATATATAATGAATCTAAAATAATTAATTTCAATACAAATAAAATTAATTTCAAATCATAATAACTTAAATGAAAGAAAACATTCCTGAGATAATTATAATGAAAATGAAATATTAAAGAAAAAGAATAATATTAAAAAAAAAAGTTTCCTTTTAGGCTCGGTTGAAAAATCAAAATTTTTATCATTAGAAGGTATGGTAAATAATATAATTTTTCAACTTATTTTACGCGTGACATACCTGACGGTGATGAGACATTAACGATGGGACCATGGAACATGTCAAGCCTACCTCGTAGGCTAGTATACATAATCTATAACTTAAAGTTCTGGTACCAACTATAACGACCCTAGATTTCTACTAACCTAAAGTCGTTACCGTTTTCATATCCTAATTAAACATTTAAAACTAAATCATAAAACACTATCATGGACTTATGTGTTCAAAAACATCTTCAAAACAACATGATGAAATTACTAAATTAAATAAATGAACAATAAAAGTAAAAACACCTTATCCTAACCTAGTGTTTAAGAAATAAAATACTACTATTCTATGCATGTGCATGGTCTTGCTTGCAATGTCTTCGTCAACCATACATGGATGTCTTTCGTTGACCTAAAATAGAAGTAGCACACGACTAGAGTATTTTAAGAAATAGTTAGTAAGTGATCCCATTGGGGTCAATGAAAGCAAACACACGAAACTCATTATTAGAGACCTATCGTTAAATCGTAATAGGGGTGGCCTTCAGTTCGGACAAAACTGAATGTGTAGTACTTCTCTACACACGACCCACACATGTGAATGTGGATCCTAAGGCGGTTCACCCCCTGGGCCCATCATAGTCGAGCTAGCTATCCGTAGCGACATCCCAAAGTCAGCAGACCCGGAGTGTCATACAAGACATGATCATCATTATCATCATTATCATAGTATATGCGTCTGTACTCGTCACCATAAATTGGGAAGTATCCCGATGTATATGAACACACAAAATGCATAAGGTCCCTATAATTTTCATCTCTAAATAATTTTTATGACACAACCCTATACAACGTTCACACATTACTATAAGTAACGTGCATGCATTGACCTTCATATGTTCATCACCATTAACATTAACTAGGTCGTGTCTTTGAAAACTCGTCGTCATAATGCATCATGACATTTAATACATGCACATCATCATATTAAATTATTTCATCATCATGCGTCTCACATCATCTTGTTATCATGCATCATCATCATCATGTCAACATCATGTACATCGTCACATCACGTCACATCATCATATAACATCATCACATCATACTGTGCACGTCATCATACTGTGCACGTCTGCACTCATCATCTCTAGGGGAAGTAACCCTATGCTTATGAACATATAATATGCATGAGGTCCCTCTAAATCCATCATAATGCCTGACCCAACCCTCTAGTCTCATCTCTTTGTTACTCTTGGTAACACATACTCGTGGATATTTATATTAATATCATTTTCATGCTCTTAGGGTTGTCCTATGTCGATCTAACGACATGATGCAATATGGCACTCATCATCATATAGCATGCTCAATATGGAAACATTTTTTTTTTAATAGATACATTCTTGTTTGACTTGGTTGGTTGAGGAGACAGATAGTTGGAAAAGGGATGAGAGTTTAGTGAGAGCCGTTTGGATAAGATTGCTGTTTTTTTATTATTTTTTCTTTTACCGTTGTATCCTATTTGATTTAGTTCAATTTTCTAATTTATCCAAAATAAAATTAAAAATGTTTGTTTTGCTTCAATGGGTAGATTTAAGGACCATAATTGACTTTTTATTTATTTATTTATGTATGGGAGTAACAACTATTACCTTATTTGATTTATCACCATAAATGACTATTTTATTTATTTTTGTATGGTTCAAACGATAACGTTATAGAATGAAACTTTATTAGTAAGCCTATAAAAAGAATATGAATTAACTATTTCAAAAATATTGTAATCTCCTCCACATTCATTCATTTATCCATTCCTATAAATACCCACCAACCTTCTCCTTCAACAAACCATCAAATACTCTTCATCATCTTCAAACTTTATCACCATGGCTAAGGCTCTTTTCTTCGTGGCTTCTCTTCTCCTCTA